TTGGAAAGGTTAAGGAATGGCTTGCATTCTGAGTTACAGTAAGTGATGGCAAAAATCTCAGTGTAAAACCAGTGAATGCCATCCAGACATGTACTTACTGCTTTTTAGACTAACCAAAGGGCTGCATACACCTCTTTTGTGTTTGCCATAGCCTTGTATAGCCCATGGACAGATGCTACTGATTTTACATGATTTAGCCTGTTGTACAAATTCAGCAGATCTTTTTTAGCCTGGTTTCACAATTGGTTCACAAAATGGTTTCACAGCGTTTTTTTGTACTTAATCTTCAGCACTGAATTGTGACACACATCAGGTTCTTGCAAGGTCCTTAATATGTTGAGGCCAATTTAGTGTTTCTGCTTCCTGTTGTTTCTCCTCAACATATTGTCCTTTTTTGCCTAAGGCTTTAAGATTGGATTATAATGATAAGTGTAGGAAAACACAAATCAACACAGAACAGTCTCCCTTCAGATATCTACTTTGATCTGTATCTTGCAACATGGAAAGAGACATCTGTCCACAAAAGTGTTTGTTCCAACAGCTCAGTTACTGAAAGACATAAGGCAGTTGTGTCTTTATAAATTCGGGTTGGCAGAAGAAAGGAGGGATTTGGTCCCTACAGTGACCTTTATATCAACAAATAATCTGAATCTTGGATGTTGCTGATCATTATTTGTGAAAGGCACTTACAGGCAACAGTACTGCCAGCTGTTATTACATCTTGACTCTGAGTCGGAAAAGTCACTTCTAGGCAGGTGGATCCAGCACCTATCGCCATTTAGATGGACAATGAAAGAACAAGTGGCAATGGAGGACGAAAGGTAAGAACATGGGATTAAGTAGGTATAAATTATATTTATTGAAAAAAACAACAAAATTTATTTTCCTACTCATTGAGAACTTCAGGGTTTTCACAACATCACATCTGACTCATCATGGTAACAGAGGCCCATGGTTAGATCTGAGTAGTAAAATTTTTGCAGCAACAATATAGAAAAGTCAAACATTTTTAATAAATATTTCTACATTTAGTAAAAAGAAGTGGGGGTGTTGCAGTCCTACGGCATGAGAATACTGAACTCGGATACTAGTCCATTAGTAACTAACCATGGCTTTAAACAACTTCATTGGGGGATAAACATTTTGAAATCAGTACTCCTGGATAACTTGCACCCAAGAGTCCTAAAAAGGTTGTCTGAGGAGACGTCTAGCCAGCTCATTTTAGTTTTGAACAAATCTTGTCTTACCCAGTAAATTCCAGTAGGCCAGAGCAGCTAATTTTGTGCCAATATTCAAAAGGGCCAAGTAAGATGACCCAGCTAATAGTAAGTCAGTTAGCTTGATACCAACCTTAGGCAAAATAAAAATCCCCACAAACCCAGGAGACAAATAAATAAAAATTAGAGAACAAATCTACTTAATGTCAGTCAACATGGTTTAATAGAAATGGGTCATGTAGAACCAATACAGTTTCATTCTCTGATGACATGACGAGATCACAAGTTTGGTTAGCAAATGTCACTGCTGAAAGATAATAGACTGTTGTAAGGACTTCATCTTGCCCACCATACAGTCATGGTTTCACCCCAGCCAGCAACAAAGCACCACACAGCTACTCACTCAGTTCTCCTCCAGTAGGATGGGGGAGTGAATAGGAAGGGTAAAAGTGAGAAAACTTGTGTGTTGAGCTAAAGACAGTTTAATAGGTAAAGCAAAAGCTGTATACACAAGGAAAGCGAACCAAGGAATTAACCACTTCCCATCAGGAGGCAGGTGTTCACCCAATCCTACGAAAGCAGGTCACCATCGTGCGTAACAGTTACTTGGGTAGACAAATGCCATCACTCTGAATGCCCCTTCCTTCCTTTGTCTTCCCCCAGTTTTGTATACTGAGCATGACACCATATGGTATGGAATATCCCTTGGGTCAGTTTGGATCAGCTGTCTCAGCTGTGTTCCCTCCCAGCTTTTTGTGCATCCCCAGCCAACTCACTGGTGGGGTGGGGTGAGGAGCAGAAAAGGCCTTGACACTGTGTAAGCACCACTCAGTAACAAATGAAATAACCAGCACCGTTTCCAGCACAAATCCAAAACATAGTTCCATACTAGCTACTATGAAGAAAATTACCACAGCCAAAACCAGCACAATGTTCATTTCCAAAACAAGTTGCTCTGTCCAATTCCAACAAATTCTGCACTAAATGAGAGCTGATTAAACAGATTTACAACAGAAGCTTGTGAATTAGGTCACTTTTGCAAATGAAGGTTTTCTAGAAAAGTTAGAAGAGGAGATAAAGGAATCAAATCTTTCTCTGATATTATCCAATAGCGTGATCAGATAAAACTACAAAGAGTTGCCAGGAGTGTTTACTTTTTTTTTTTTTATTTTAATTTTTTTAAAAAGCACAGGACCGTCTTCCCACACACAAACACTGCTGCCATGCAAGGAAGCAATGAAAAAGATGAAAAATAGGTAAAAATCTGAATCTTAGCCTAATTTGAACTTGTTTTGAGAACAAATCCAGTATTTCAGCCCCTAACAAGATGTTCTGAGAATATTTTTTCCCTCTTGAAAATGAAGAGAAACTTTGATTAAAAAGGTAGAAATGTAGTGATCAAAATGCTTGGTAAAATAAGCCCATTCAAGTGAACTGAATCCTTGACAAATAAATAATTTTGGAGAAGACCGTTTTCTGAAAAGTGGTGGCTCCAAAAAGGTCATAGTGGGGAGGTAATTGAATATGTGGGAAAACTGTAGTCAGAGAGTAGTTATCAATGATTCACTGTCAAAATGCAACGGTATGGGAGTGAAGTTCTACAGGGATTTGTTCCTGCTTCCTGTGTTATTTAATTTTTATTAATGACTGAATGATGGAATACAGAGATCTGTTATTAAGTTCGCAGATGACACCAAGCTGGGAGTAGCTGTAAATGCTGGAAGACAGGAGGACAGTTCAGTATGATTAAAACAAATTGGAGAAATTATCTAAAAAGAACATAAGGTGGTCTTCAGTAGGAGTGAGTACAAAGGTTCATTCCTTATGCAGCAATTATCATGTTCCTAAATATGAGGTGGGTAATGCTTTCTGGGTAGTGAGGATCTGGGGTTGCAATGGAGCAAAATCTAACATGGGTCAGCAGTGTTATAATATTGCAAAAAAAGACAAACTGTTGCCTGCAATATATGTGCAGCTCAACATTGACAAAGTCTTACCTCAGGGCTTTTCCAAAGTCGTATGGGTAATTTTGAACATGTGATGCCAAACAAGATGCAGATTGACTGGGCAAAGTTGAGAGAGGAATGATAAGGTTGGAGGGCTAGAAAACATGACCTTGAGAAAGAGATGTTGTTTATCTTAGAGTGTGGGTCAGTAAAAGGATGCTGAAGAAAGGATTCTCTGTTCCTCCATGTTCATGATAGACCAAAGTCATGGCTTAAACAACAGGAGAGGATTCCAAATAGGAATGAGGAAAAGAAGTTTTCTAATTGAAAGATAGTGAATCTCTCGAGTGTATTGCTTAGGGTGTTGTTCCCCTGGGAGGATTACTGGAGGTCTTTACGAACAAATTAGAGAAACATTTGTAGAGCTAAACCAGCTGGAATCAATCCTGAGTTAGGGCCGGAAGACGGGCTGGAAAGGGATCTTAAAATCCCTGTAGTTTATGAACATTTTAATGAAAGAAACAATGCAATAGATGTTACAATAGTACAGAAAGGAGTGCAGAGGTAGAGTCATGACTCTCACTGCAGGGGTGAGGTCTATATGCAAAAGGTGCCACTGCTCCTGCTTTCTTCAGCAGAATGATGTAAATTATGATAGAGAAAACGTTTCATTGAGGCTTAAGGTTTGCAGGGGAAATATAAGCTATTTGTAAATTTGATTCTCATATGGGTAATAATTGCAGTCAAAGAAAGTGGGAATATTATTAAAATTAATGAAAAATGGTTTCACATCGTCAAATAAAAATATTTTATTTCTTGGTTTGAAATTGTATTTTATTTTTAAACTGATCTTTTTAAAGACAAAAGCTTCATAGAAGATTCTTAAAGTGCTGAATCACTCCAAAACAAAGACTCATTTTTTAATTTGATCCAGAATTAACTTGAGGATTTTTTTCACAAAAAATAAAGAAGGTGAGAAAAAACTCAGTCCAAAATAAAATGTTTTTTTCCCAAGCAATATTTTGGTTGGTGGTGGAACAGAAAAAGCTTTTTATTCCCTAGTTCTATTTGTCAAGGTTTTTGCGACTTGGGAAAGTCTTGATTCATGACACCTGTGCACCAGCCCATTTCAACTACTTCTCTCAGGGCAGTCTTGATTAAGACTATTCTTTCTCCTTTGGACTGCATACTTTCTCTCTCATCTCTCAATTTGTAGTAGCCAGGTAGGTAGCTGGGCAGAGGGCCCAGCCCTCACACAGAGGGCATAAAAAGCAATGAAAATTTGGAGTGGTGAAGATAAGGGCCTTGATGGGCCAGTACAAGGGATAACAAAGGAAATGTAGTGGCCTCTGACACCTAGGAAAGTATGGTGGTACTTTTTCTAAATCTCAAGTTGAATAGGTGTATGATTTATCAACATTTTCTTCCTTCCTTCCTTCCTTCCTTCCTTCCTTCCTTCCTTCCTTCCTTCCTTCCTTCCTTCCTTCCTTCCTTCCTTCCTTCCTTCCTTCCTTCCTTCCTTCCTTCCTTCCTTCCTTCCTTCCTTCCTTCCTTCCTTCCTTCCTTCCTTCCTTCCTTCCTTCCTTCCTTCCTTCCTTCCTTCCTTCCTTCCTTCCTTCCTTCCTTCCTTCCTTCCTTCCTTCCTTCCTTCCTTCCTTCCTTCCTTCCTTCCTTCCTTCCTTCCTTCCTTCCTTCCTTCCTTCCTTCCTTCCTTCCTTCCTTCCTTCCTTCCTTCCTTCCTTCCTTCCTTCCTTCCTTCCTTCCTTCCTTCCTTTTCTTTCCCATCAAACACATCTTGTGGATATCTCCTGTCAAGTGTACTTAATTTGTCTTGTACTTTTCTAACCCTTCAGAGAGGAGCAAAATTATACCCTCTGCCTGCAAGCAGTCTCATCAAGCTTCCTTCCACTTCCTTCTCTGACCTAGCACTCACTCCACAGCCTGCTCTTTATACTTAAATTAGAGAGTCTCACAGGTTTGTGGGTTTTTTTTGAGCCCTCTTGCCTGTTTTCATCTCCCCCAGACCCCCTTAGTCAAGCATCTCCATGAAGAGATGCCAGACTTTTCCTCTCTAGTAACTAAGCTGCTGCTGTTCAGGGAAGAAATTCCTTTTGAAGTGAGGGTATCAGACTTTGTCTAACAGCTGTGGAGACTCCTGAAGGACACTTTCTGGTAAGAAATGCTGTGGGGTGTTGCCTCTGTATTTGGGGGCCTATTTTATTCTGCAGTTGTTCACTTGTGCCTTTAAACATGAGCCTTGAAGAGGGCTCCCGCTTGAGGCAACTTCTTTGTAGTTTATTTATTTATTTGGGGTTTTTTTTGAAGTACAAGGTGCCTGTCTTCTCTCAGGCAACACATGTGAACTCAAGTGTTTGAGTTGCTTCTTGCTTGCACCAGGACTCTAACACCAGCTGTGAAACTCTGTGAAGCAAACCAATGTAAACATGCTCAGTACCATGCCCTGTGCATTTCTAGATATATTATCAGGCTGAATGGGAAAAGGAGTATTTAAAAAAATTCTCTGTATCCCCTTCCCAGGCAAATCTGTAAAGCTTACGTTCCTCCTCCACTGCTTATTGAACATGGCTTCTATCCTACAGGTAAGGGAAATTAATACAATTGTTTGTCTTTACATCACTCTGCAGTTATCATTTAATTCTGTGGCCTGTTAATTCAAAGACTCCAATTCATTTTAGCTTGTCCCAGAAAGTTACAGAAAGGATATAATTCTGAAGGATGTTGAGAACAAGCCTACTTTGAGGTCCAGCCCTGGGAGCTTTCAAGAGCTGTATTTTCTGAATGATTCCTCCAAGTTCAGGGCATGGAAATAACCTATTCTGGTGGTCAACAGATGAAACTCCTTTCCAAGCATCTGCAAAGAATTCTAATCCAAATGAGTCTTGTGTTGCCCTTCATCCTCTCTCCAGACTTTACTGCCTGTTTTTGCATCTGAGTTTTTCCACAGCGTGAGTTTTGTTTGGCGTCCTGATTAAGATGTCAGGCCTTAAAGCTTATATTTATCTGATTGCAAACATGCTAAGACACAAGAATGAACAAATACATTTGACTGTCCAGAGTATAAGGAACTGGTATTAGTTTATCAAGGTTATTTCCTGACATCATCACTGGCTTCTGGAAGACGTGTCCCACTCTCAAACAGAACAGAATATGGATGATTTCGAATGCTGGCAGGACCACTTTGTCTTCTTCTCCTCCATCACCTTGTTGAATTGTCCAAGGAATGTACAGGAAAATTGTGACAATGAAGTAAATTTTTTCTTGAGTAAAATGGGGCATAAATTGTCCTTCAGAAGGGCTTTGAAAAGAAAGAGCAACATCACCCAGGCCAGCAAAAGGATTCCTGAGGATAAATCTGGCACTGGGCAGGCATATGCATTTCATCATAAAGTCTGTGAATACAGTAGATGGCATAGAAGGTCTCTTCCCAATATAATGTATATCTCACATGACACAGTATGCTGTTCTGTTTCTCCCTGAATTATAAAAGCAAGTAATTCAAACCACCTGAGAGCAAAAGCAAGGTGCAAGGAATCTCTGTCTTCAAACAGGATGAGAGAGTGCTAATGAAAACCAAGAGTCCGGTGTAAGCGTGTTGCAAAGAAAAACTGCCTCTGAAAAGGGTTTTATGTTCCCCTGAAGCCAGGAGTAGCTGCATTTGTACCAACTCCACAGCCTTTCTGTTATTGATGTGTCTGAGTCGTCTTTGAAAGCCTGGCTTTTTCTTCTGATAGATAAATATAAACCCAGATTATATTCACCCATCTGCAAGAGAAATCATTATGAAATTAACCAGTGATCAACCAAACCACATGGGAAGCTCAGAAAGGTTTTTTGGGCTCTTTCAAATGGCTGGCTCTTCTGTCTACATCTGGATGTGTTTAGCTCTGAAATATAATTTTTGGTGCTGATCACTTCTGGGTAGAACATACAATTAAGGTATTTGAAAAATAAACATTTCTAAACCACTGATCGTTGGGGAGATGGCTTAGAAACGACAGCCCATTTTCCAAGAAGGCGGTTGGGAAAGGGAACCTGAAAGCTTAAGATAACATTAAAAAGGAAACAGAAGAAGTCCAGGGAGGGAAAAGAAAACAAAAGAAGAAAAAGAAACCCAACAAACAAACCCACCCTCAAAGTATTTTAACTGCTTCTCTAGACCTTTCAGACTAATGTTATTTGAATTCTTTAAGGAATCCAGCCTCGTTTCTGTGTATTTCTATGAATTCATGCTGCTACATGAGGAATGTGTTACTGAGAAGTGGAACCTGCAACAGTTTGAAAACAGGAGACATTTGCAGTGATTGGAGGAATTTAATCCTCCAATCTTTTGGACCTTCAATATCAAATTTCAAGAAGGAAGGGTAGCAGGGCTGAAGCCCCAGAAACAAATTTGGACGTGCCTCTTCCTTCTGGTACCCTACTGCTAACTTCTCTTTCCCACCTAAACTCAGCTCACTTTGGCTCACCTCCTACGATCCTCAGGCAGCTGCATTTTACTTCTTAAACAATTCCAAAACTGTTCGTTGCAGAAGATATTTGCCTGGTGCGTTCTCACCTGAAAGATGATTTTAAACCAGAAAGTTTGGTAGAGTTCCATTTTGTCTATTTTATCAGTTAACCAAGAAGATAAGAGTCAGTAAAAAATAAATACCATATGATTTGGTGGCTGGTGCAGGAACACAAGTGTTCAGGAGTGAGCCAGAAATGAACAGCTTTGAACTCTTGCAGAGTTCAGATATAGATGTGAATGCTGCTGAGGCACTACTGTGTAATCCAGTTAAATCAAACCAAATCAGGATCTACATCCTTGATTGAGCCTTCCCCAAGCCTCAGGTGAAGAGGTAAAGCCCATCTAGCAATAGTACTGCTACTGTAATCAGCAGTGTTTTGAAAATAATTGGATAATAAAAGCAGAGGATATAACTGGAGTTCCTTGAAGTCAGTGGCTGCCTTTGACTGAGGAGAGAAAAGGTTTTGGATCCTACAAAGGAAAGTGATGGAAAGGCCAGCGTAGAAGCCTCCAGAATCTGAGATAAGCTTTGGCTAAGCCTGTTAATACTTGGATGCTTAAGCAAAGATAACCTCCAAGCTTTTGGCAGCCCTGCCCACAAATAGCTGAAACACAGAAGGACCAGGTAATTACCTAATGTGGTAAGAGCAATTATGGCAACTGTGTAAAAGGTAAAGCAAATTTTACCTGACACCAAGGCTTGCTCTCACATCTGGGATTTTCATACCCAATGCAAGTTCTTTCTTTTCCTTTTGGATTTTAATGTTTACTGAAATGCATCTACTGGTGGGGTGAGGCTTAGCATGGCTTTGCCTCATTCCCAGTCAATGTTCCAAAAAGCTGGACTGACATGGGCTTTTGGAAAATGTGGAGTCAAGTCCCGGCTCCTTCTCTAAGTCTGTAACTAGGATGGGGAGGCTGTAATAATTCTTAATTTCCAATTTTTTGAGCTGTTGCTACTTAGAATTCAATTAGAGTAAAATCCACAGGGCTAGGCCTTCCCAGAGTTTGGGAAGACTGCATCCCAGCATTTCAGCTCTTTTAAGCAGTGTGCAGGAGTTGCTGAATCCCTGGAAAGCACCTAAGGAGCTTCCATAAACAACTTTTAAAATTATAATGATAGTTAATGACCTAATTTCCTAGCCAGCCAAAATACCTGAGGAATCAAAGTCCCATATCTGAATTAATCTAAACTCCTGGGAGGTTTTGTTCTGGACTTCATATTCACAATTACTGCTTTCTGTCTGGCATTTTTTGGGCCAATTCAAGACCTCAGTTTAGATACCCACACAGTTACAGATCGTTATTTATTTTCTGTAAAATGCCAGAGATTGCAGCATTGTGTAACAGGAAGGGATCTCAAGAGAAACACTATTTTACTGCCCTCCAATGAGGCAGATGTATATGCAGAACATACTGTATAAGCAGCATATCCTCCTAAATTTCTAGTTCCCATTACAGTTATGTGGTTCTTCATTTCCAGCCCAAATTTTCTTTGATGTAAATTGCAGGGGTTTGCCCCTCATCTTTTTATTTGCTATAGTATAAGAGTCACCATCAACCTCTTTATAATGACTTGCCACATATTGGAAGAGAATTTATCATGTCTCTCACCACCTTACTTTTTTTTCTTTATTCTTTAAATTGGCATGTAGTGTGCAGTTATTTCCCAAATTTTCCCTGTAACTTCTGTCTGTTCTAGAAAGGCATACAAGCTGCATTGCTGTCAGTTCAGAGTGAGACCTGTCTGTGTGGGACTCACCAGGCAAACTTATGCAAACTAAAAATCAGCATATTCTGCCTGCTCTTGCAAGACAGTTTTTGTGGCGAGTTCCTCATAATTATCAGTTAATTGTCATGAATCCCATGTTGCCAAGAATTTGAAGATGTGAAAATTGGATGCTGGTACAATTTCCAGCCCACAGGATACTTAGCTATTCCAGCAAAGACTTCAGTACCTCCCTACAGCCATATGCACACATGCCTGTGCTCTGGGATAAATGACACTAACAGAGTTTCTGACTTGTGATATCATCCCTCTTTCCTATAACACTGGATAGAGTTGGTTGGTTTGATTTAACCTTCCTTTTCTTGGAAATCCTCCTTTGCAAAAACACCTGTGTAGTTAAAAATCCCTAAAAGTGCATGAAATGTTTTCCAATAGCCTAAGACATGGATAGGAAGTCCTAATTCTAACGTAATGAGAGGAAACATGTTTTCCACTTCCTTAAATTCAGTTTTCTGTAACCATCAGAAAAATTACTACACAGCTGCACATGATAGGTACCCTTTATGCAGATGGCTTCTGTTTTTGCTGGCCAGACTTTCCAGTCTAACACTTAGATACTTTTGGTGAAAAGACAAGGTCTTGTGACCAGCTCTGGACAGTAACCATTGGACTACTTACACACTATATATCAGACAACAGGTCACCCATCTCCAAAATTGTGCTGGTGAGATGTGGCAGATATGGTGTGAAAGTCACCATGCTTCCCTCATGCTGTGCAGAAACTTGAACAATAGCCCATTGTGCATCCTCTCTAGGAGCAGAGCCATGGGCCCTTGTCATATTCTGTCTATCCAGCCAGAGAAGCACAGCTTCCCCTTTGTGGAGCTTAAGGGCAGATCAGTTTTACAGTCTGGTCGCTAAAAAAATCTCTGCATAGTTTTAATTTTAGTAAAATGCCACCATCAGCCCTTTGTGTTTAGGAGCTCTCACATTTCCTCTGACTGGTCCATGTAGAGAAAACCAGCTTCTCTTGCTAAACTGATAAAAGTACATTACAATATTTTTAATTTCACACTTACTTAACCTGTTTACAAATTGCAAATGAGGATTATGCACATTTGCTTAAGAACACATTCATTAGGAGGGGAAGTCACATAAACTCCATTCATACTGTGTTTGTATTGATTTTTCTTTTAAAATCCATCCAAATGTGAAACAATAGACATTGCACCCAGAAAAAACAAAGATGATCCATAGACTGTTAGTATTTTATAGTGAATAAACCAGATTCCTATAGCCATGTGGAACTCATGAGCTCAAATATACCACACCATGGATTACACTTTATGCAATTGTATTTGCATTTATTTGGTAGCATTAAAAAGTACAGAAGGATCCAATAAAATCTCTAAAACAGCAGGACATTAGGAAACAGCCAACTTGGACAAATCCAGGACTTGATTAGCTGTCTGTTTGGCACACAGAATCATAGAATCATAGAATAGTTAGGGTTGGAAAGAACCTTAAGATCATCTAGTTCATGGGCAGGGACACCTCCCACTAAACCATATCACCCAAGGCTCTGTCCAACCTGGCCTTGAACACTGCCAGGGATGGAGCATTTACAACCTCCCTGGGCAGCCCATTCCAGTGCCTCACCACCCTCACAGGAAAGAATTTCTTCCTTATATCCAATCTAAACTTCCCCTGTTTAAGTTTGAACCCGTTACCCCTTGTCCTATCATTACAATCTCTAATGAAAAGTCCCTCCCCAGCATCCCTGTAGGCCCCCTTCAGATACTGCAAGGCTGCTATGAGGTCTCCACGCAACCTTCTCTTCTCCAGGCTGAACAGCCCCAACTTCCTCAGCCTGTCTTCATACAGAGGTGCTCCAGTCCCCTGATCATCCTCATGGCCTCCTCTGGACTTGTTCCAACAGTTCCATGTCCTTTTTATGTTGAGGACACCAGAACTGCACACAATACTCCAGGTGAGGTCTCACAAGAGCAGAATAGAGGGGCAGGATCACCTCCTTCGACCTGCTGGTCATGCTTCTTTTCATGCAGCCCAGCACACGCTTGGCTTTCTGGGCTGCAAGCGCACACTGAAGCTGGCTCATGTTCATTTTCTCATCAACCAACACCCCCAAGTCCTTCTCCTCAGGGCTGCTCTGGATCTGTTCTCTGCCCAACCTGTAGCTGTGCCTGGGATTGCTCCGACCCAGGTGTAGGACCTTGCACTTGGCATGGTTAAACTTCATGAGGCTGGCATCAGCCCACCTCACAAGCGTGTCAAGGTCCCTCTGGATGGCATTCCTTCCCTCCAGCGTATCAACTGAACCACACAGCTTGGTGTCATCGGCAAACTTGCTGAGGGCGCACTCAATCCCACTGTCCATGTCAGCGTCAAAGATGTTGAACAAGACCGGTCCCAACACCGATCCCTGAGGGACACCACTCGTTACTGGTCTCCAGCTGGACACTGAGCCATAGACAACAACTGTTTGCATGCAGCCATCCAGCCAGTTCTTTATCTACCGAGTGGTCCATCCATCAAATTGATGTCTCTCCAATTTAGAGACAAGGATGTTGTGTGGGACAGTGTCGAACGCTTTGCACAAGTCCAGGTAGATGACATCAACTGCTCTACCCCTTGTCCATCAGTTCTGTAGCCCTGTCATAGAAGGCCACCAAATTGGTCAGGCAGGATTTCCCCTTAGTGAAGCCATGCTGGCTGTCACCAAGCACCTTGTTGTTTTTCATGTGCCTTAGCATGCCTTCCAGGAGAATCTGCTCCAAGATTTTGCCAGGCGTGGGGGTGAGACTGACTGGTCTGTAATTCCCCGGGTCATCCATTTTCCCTTTCTTGAAATGGGGGTTATATTTCCTTTTTTCCAGTCATCGGGAACTTCACCTGACTGCCATGATTTCTCAAATATGATGGCCAGTGGCTTCACAACTTCATTCGCCAGCTCCTTTAGGACCCACGGATGGATTTCATTAGGTCCCATGGACTTGTGCACATTCAGGTTCTTAAGATGGTCTCGAACCAGATCTTTTCCTACAGTGGGCCCAAGGTCTTCATTTTCACAGTCCCTGTGTCTGCCTTCCAAGACTTGGGTGATGTGGTCAAAGCATTTGCCAGTGAAGACTGAGACAAAGAAGACCGAGGCACATGAGAAATTGATTTTTTTTTCACTTCATTATATTGTCCCCCTTTTTTCAGTTTTCCTGACCTTGATCACTGTGAATCACCAGGAACTAAAACACTCAGCCAGCATACATGCTACTTTACCTGCATTGCTTTATGAGTTTGCAGGTGTCAGAACAAAATTCAAATGCTTCTTATCTTCAATTTCACAAATATAAAACCTGGGAGTGCTCTGTAACCCAAAATATTTCCATTTAGGATGAAGACTTGTAATCTTTTTGCTTACAAATCTTCTTTCTAAAAAAATGGTAATTCACTCTGTATTCTGGATGAAACATATTAATGTTGTATTAATCTTAAATAATTTACTGTTGAGACAGATTCTGAATTCCTTTCTTAAAACAAATTCCTATTGACTTGCATGTGAGCTTTGCCTAAATGAAGATGTCAGATTCTAGAATTTGTATAACTCCAGGTTTCATGTAATTAATTGCAAAATATTTTTAAGAACTAGTTATATCCAGCTAGTAGGTGTACCATCACAGGTGAAATGCCATGATGAGTGGGATGCACTACAAGTCATTTGAAAGACTACACAGTAACAATTCACTGCGAGATATGACAGGAAATAAACAACATTACACCTTCAGTGAAAGTTTGTGTAAAAAGAATCAAGTTACCATGTTGGAAAAATATTTCAATACAGAGTTTAGTGACATTACATCTTGACACCAACACTAAATGAGCCCAGCTTTGTAAAATATCCTGAAGTTGTTCAGAGCAGGCCACTGACAGAGAAATAGAAGGTTCTATTTGAGGCTGGAAATAAATTCATCACAGAAAAGGCTTCAGCTTTGCAGCGTCCTCTAGAATTGGACTGGGAACTACAGTAACTCAGTGTTGGTCACTGCCAGTCAGGTAGTTGGACTAGATGATTGTTGCAGGTCCCTTTCAACTGAAATGTTCTGTTCTTTTCTGTTCTATTGCATATAAGGGGCTGAAAGAATGCATCCAGCCACTCTGTACAAGACTGTTTCTTGACACCCAGTGTTCCTCAGTGTTTATCCTCATTGCTGTGTACGTGAAAGATATACCAAACAGGAAAAAGCACAATCCAGTAGCCAATTCAGATAGAGAACATTGGCTAGGGTTGTGGGGTGGGATATAGTTGTTATCTTGATGAGTTGAGGATGGTTTCATACATGCAGCTGTGTGCATCTGGTGTTGAGCACTCACTTTGCAGGTAGAAGTCCTACTTCTAGTCTTCTTGCATTGCTGGGCAAAAAAGTAGTTTAGTAAAGGTGTAAATAAATAAATAAATAATAATCCCCAAACCAACCAACCAACCAAAAAAAAACCAAACTCCCACACCATTTTTTGGGTTGTGACTGTCTTGCTGAGCACTTCCCTCGTCATACAATTGTCATGAAATTGCAGCCCATATGGTTAAAATACTAAACAGGATAACATTACACATTTCAATCCACAGCTGAGACAAAGCAGAGACCAGGAATAATCCTGCTCAACAGCACCACATTTACTGTCTGATGTGGGAGATGTTGATTAGCTTTTAAGTAAAAACACATTTTTTAAAGTTACATAATCTGATGCTCACATTCCCCTCCCTTTCTTTACGCTTCCCCCCCCCCCAAAAAAAAAAAACCAAACCCCCCCAAAAACCTAAATATTGTGAAAGATTTAAAAGTTCTTCAGTCCTTTGTTTTCTGGGGGAATTGGGTGCACCTGCAGCTACGTTTTTCCTTTCCCTTGTTCCCAAACCCAACATTCAGTGAAGCATATTCGTGCAGTGTGTCATGTAGAAGATCACACACTCAAGTCTTCAGAACCTGACTCAGCTGTTACTCAGTACTTCCTCTGGAAAAAACAATGGAAGTTTGCCTGAAGGAAGACTAGGAATTGTGTGAAAATAGCAGGAGATACGAGGAACTGAGATATAGAAACTGGAAGGAGAAAGACTCTCTTACATTGCTCATGACCCATGATGACCTGTCCCAGTGATTTTGTTCCTTGGGATACCACTTGCTGGGCACTGAATAACTTCCTGCTGTTTTGCTTATCTTGATTTGTTCTTCCATAGAGCTGTTTTCATACATAAGCCTTGGGCCCACACTAAATCAATTTTGTTTCTCATTGCTCTTCATGAGGTACAAACAGGCAGGACATGAGTCCTTCTATAAGGCGTTTCTGGTGCTGCCTGCTACCTGCTATCTTGTATATAGACTGTGCTGGGAATTGCTCTTGGGTTCTGGCAGCAGGAATGATTGGGGAGAACAATGTTCCCCAGCCTTGATCATGTTGCTTCTTGGAGCGCAGTGAGTAAGGTCCTGGGGTAAAACAGTTCAGCTATGGCCCTCAGGTAACATACAGAAATCAATGGAGTAAATCTATGCAAAAAAAAGAAAATCTTTTAGAAATGTTCTTAATTGGGCATAGCTAGCCTGAGTTAGTCAACATCATTTAGAGCTCTAGTGGAGCCAAACCAATTCAGAATGGTTTGGGTTAGGCCAATAAAGGATCCTAAAGTTGAATTTGAACCTCTGTTGTAAGTCATCTCAAGCTAAGAATACTGCTTACTTTCCATTTTCTTCCTCTCTCAATTTTTTTTTTTTAATTTGAAGTGTGGACACCCCTGCCAACAAACACCTAAAT